GCTTCCTGGTACCAAAAACAGAGCATGTTTTTAGCCTCCGGAGAGCCTCCAGAGCCTGGGGGAGGCCATTTTCGTCCTCCCAGAGGCTTGAGCTGAGCCTCTGGAGCCTGGGGAGGGTGAAAACTCCCACCTCCCCACATGGGTAGTGCATGCATGGTGGGGGGGGAAGGTAGTCCGTGCATGTGGGGGGGGGGTCTCATTCGTATGCGCGGGTGGGTGGGGCGCATTGCATTATGGGTGTGGGGCATGCATGCTCATGCTATTGAACACGTGCACACAATTTTGGCACGCAAGGACAAAAACATTCGCCATCACTGTGTTAAGCTATTTTCCGCAGAAAATCTGTCCTTCTTCCTTGTTAGAATCAGATCTGAGACTTCATTACTTTTATAAATCTCATTAATCGACTTTGCTTTTCAAGCAGTGAAGTTGACCAGTGAATGTTTTCTCCAGACATGAGAATCAGCAACGATCCTTGACTGCAGATACATACAATCTGTGGAGTAACTGAAACTCAAAGAAAAATGGGAGAGGGAAGGGCCTTCTTTAGTGAATCTTACAGAACCTAGCAGTAGCTTCTGCCAAGATCTAAGGAAGCTGCCGATGGAAGCAAACTTTTGGTGCACCAGTTTGTTCCGGATAAGTTGATTAGCATTTATTTTTCTCTTTAAACAACAAAGCACAAACTGTAATTCTGTGCTGGTTTTTCACAGTCAGGCGTGGAACTGCTTTGGACCTTGACCAAAGAGTTCCTCTTGCCAAGTGCTTTCACTTTAACTCTGCAAAGAGAGCTGTACTTTTTATTTCAAGTTCCTCTTTTGCTTGATCTCTGTGCTTTAGCACCACTCCCCAGCCTAGGTATTCCAATGTATTCAAAGTTAATTGTGCTAGTTGAGTGAAATGGATATTTTCAAAACCTCTTTGGCCTATCTGCTTTTCTTGGGATGAGAGTTACATTCAGATTTTGGAATCCCACTGAGACAGATTGCCAGCAGCATTGAGTAAACCAGGCTAGGAAATAAACTCTACAATTAGCTTTAGCCTCCCTTTAGCTAGGCAGGTGAAATCTACTCTGAGGTTGGATGTAATAACAGTCTCTTGCCACAGTCTCATTGTGCTACACTGTCCCTCTCTTCCTATAATTCAGTGAATTAGGGAGGTCTATGCCTAAGCCTCTTCCTAATGTCATCTCTTCCTGGACTTTAAAAATGTTTCAGCTTCTTTTGTCTAGGTAGCAGCTGCATGCCTCCATCAAGGTCAGCTTCCTTGCTCTTTACAAGGAAGAGAATTTAGGAAGTAAACTGGAAGGAGGAGAACTATGGGTTAGGGATGCCAGCAACCCCTATCCCATCAACTCCTTTTCTGTTTTAAATTACCATTCAGAGGGATGAAGTGGCGATCCAGTTCCAATGTTACAGAACTGTTGCAGTCATGTCTACATGATCTCACAGATTAGGGCACTTCATTAAACTGCTGAAACCAAGTTGCTCATAATGTGTAAACTAAGCCTAATCTTCACACCTGGTTCACACAACATGCAAAGTCATCACACACTTTGTCGCTTCATTTGGGCTAAGCATGTTGCATGAAATTGATACCAGTTGTTTTAATATGTCATAGTTAAACAAATCATACCCTGTTTTCCCAAAAATAAAAACCTCCCCGGAGAATAAGCCTAATCGGGCTTTTGAGCACATGCGATAAAATAAACCCTCCCCCCCAAAATAAGCCGTCCCCTAAAACATTTAAACGCATGCGCAGCCGGTCCCCACCAATTCCTGGGAGGAGGGGGGAATATGCTCCACGCGCCTCACATGCACTTGCCATCCATGCGGAACAGCCTTGTGGAGGCCGCTCCTGTAAATTTTAGCTACTGCGCCCCTTCTCTCAGTGGCGGACGCAAAAAGAGCAGTAAGCCCAATGACGCTAGGGCTGGCAAGAGCGTGCCAGAAACA